CTGTCTCGGGTACATGGAAGTACATACCCCATAAAGTGGTGAATAGATGGGATAATAATAATAATAATGGTATGATGATTGTATTTAGAAACTATGTATTTAAAAAGTTTAGTTTTTATGTGGATGTGTTGTATGTGTGTGCTTTCTACGTATGAGGACATGTTGCTTCAGCCATTTTTATATTCCAGAAGTTGACTTTTTTTAACATGTTTTACAACAAAAGACAACATGCTTCTGGTACATGTGTGGATGCATTTTAGGAATGTGTGGTAGTAATGGAACAGATTGTGAGCTGATTGAGTACAAATTTGTTCAGAATGTGGATGTACAAAGCATCTATAGTGGCTATGTTTTTTGATTCTGTGGGTGAAAATTTGTTAGTTTAAATCATAACCTTTCTACGTATGAGGACATGTTGCTTCAGCCATTTTATATTCCAGAAGTTGACTTTTTTTAACATGCTTTACAACAAAAGGCAACATGCTTCTGGTACATGTGTGGATGCATTTTAGGAATGTGTGGTAGTAATGGAACAGATTGTGAGCCGATTGAGTACAAATTTGTTCAGAATGTGGATGTACAAAGCATCTATAGTGGCTATGTTTTTTGATTCTGTGGGTGAAAATTTGTTAGTTTAAATCATAACGAGCAATGGAAATGGTGTAATTAGACGCTCTAGATTTTATTGAGAAATTATGACAATTTTCTTTCAGAAATCAGGAAGTGGACCGTGAATCGTGATTAAAAGAAAGGGAATTTTATTATCCATTTACTAGTGAAAAGGTGGATTGATATGATCCAGAAAATTCTCATTGTAAAAGCACTGAAACAAGATGTTTTGCACATATGTGTGCACTAAAAGTACACAGTGAAATCTTAGAGATAGTAGCAATTAGGATGAAGATGTTTCATATGTTGGTAGAGATTCATATGAAATTAACAAATATCAGGAAACCTTATGTGCCTTTATTTAAAATGGAACAGCTGAGAAATCAGTTTTGTTATAATACACAGACATCACATCATATAACATGGTTTTGTCACTGCCATGTTGATTTATAATCCACAAAAACAATGTCAGTAAACTCTATTAGGATGACTGTATGATCTTCATAAATATTTCTTGCCACAAAGGCTCCTTGATTCTTCAGTGATTTTCTTATATATTTTTGAGTTTTACCGAAGCACACATCCTAGAAGAGTTTATATCGTTTAGTGGTTAAATTCTGTGCCTTTAGCATTAGTGTGGTCTGCTGTTATGGTCAGGTGCCCACTGAGTATTTTCATTACTTTTCTCGTTTATATAACAAAATAAATAGCACGGTCCTCATAATGTCTCCATTTGAGTGGTTCCAGCTGTTCAGAACATTTTTTCTTCTCATTATTCAAAGAGAGCTAAACATAATGGAATGGAACAACATTTGGTGGTGGTAACTGACAACCCATTGATATGCTTTGTGGAGATCTTTCATTTTAATAAAGAAAAACTTCTTTTGTGAGTGTATTTTTATGTGAACATATGATTTATATTGTTATAGAAATAGTGACTTTCTTATACTAATCTTAACACCAGATAAATTCAGTCTGTAAGGTTCAGAGTTTCTAACTGAAAGGTTAATTATTGTTAGATATGACATTTCTCATCAGACTTTAACCATACAAAATTTTGTTTTTATTTTTGTATAGGGAGGTGCTTCCAGGAATTACAACTCCATTATCTCAGTCAGTAACAGTTCGTGCCTTAGACTTGGCAGTGCGACATCAAACACCTTGTAGGCCAGGAAATTATTATTCTGCTAATGTTATTCCTGTAAGTCATCATATCCTGGTCAACGTTCTAAATGTAAGTAAAAATGTTTCTTGTAACATGAGAAACCATTTCTGTTTATTTAGACATATAACTCTCTGTTATTCCAGTTGCATTTGTACATATGTTGGCCTGCCATTTCAATTACCATGGATAAATGTGCATTACTCTATAAATGTATCACATATACAAAGTGAGATGATAAATATGTGAGTACCAGTACATGAAAATAATAATGATAGGAAATCTTTGTCTGCTTCTATTATTAATCACTATTCTTATGCATGAGGAACACCTTTGGAACTTTTGTGTGCTCCAAAGAACACATCCTTTCTAGTCTTGTTAAGTTCCTCACCATAAGTTGCTTATTTTTCAAAGCATTATTACAACAAACTATTTTATAATTCTGTGTTATCTGGTGCTAGTGTCACTTGTACCTCACAAGTATGTGCATCCACCATGTTGTCATTACTGATTGTAGGAAATTATAAAATACATATTTGGAGTCTCCTCCAAAGTTTGGGGAAAATTGGTCAACTGTTTCAGGATTATAAGCATGAACAGTATATTGATCACATAAACTTACTTTTTACCTCAAGAAAGGTAAGTAGGCTGAAAGTGGATCAACTTTTATGAAGGAATAAATTCCAGGAATTGCATAAACTGAAATAATATTACCCCGCTTAAAAATTGGATGACTATTCAAAAATAATGCTGAACTGTGAAAGACAAATATACATAATGTAGTCCCTTGAATCCTAATGTAATATGGTTCTTGTGATTTTTCAGACAATGCTCATATCAGTGGGTTCAGAGATTACGCTCGGAGACAAAGTTGTCGATTTGGCTCTCTATGGCCGCTTGGTGACAACACCGGAACTGCTCAAACTTGCTATAGAGAGGAATGGGGTAGTCGGGTCACTGGGCAGGCTTTGGGCAATGGTGAATTTTACAAAGGTAGGTTGCGTCCTTCTGCCATTTACCAAGAAGAATGGTAGGAGAAAATCAGAAAGATAAATGAATGTTGTGTGTGTGTGTGTGTTATAGAAAGTAATTAAAATGTTTGTCATATGCACTAGTCATTTTAATACTTTTACATTCATATTTTCAAATATCTATTACTGTACAAAATTTCATAATCTTAGTTTTGCCCCACCTGAAGAGTTTGTAGAGAACCAAAGTGTCAGAGATTTGAAAAGAAAGATTTTACCTTCACATGATACCCAGTAATATTACCAATGTGACTGAAGTGAGTCTATCTGCAGCCTGATGGGCATTTCCACTTGTCTTTTCAGTCTACCATTGTTTTTGCATTGTCTCTACCATTTCTGTCACGAACTCTTTCTTCTTCTTTATTGACCCTATTTGCACGAAGAACATCCACTACACCATCTCTATTATGATGTGTGTCACATCTGTTTGTGCAAGACATGAAGTTCCTCATTCTCTTCTGTATAAGATTTCCTTCATAACTTCAATACCTCATTGGTTTCTGATCACCCACTTCACCGGCAGGATTATTATTTCCTATTCGGTCCTGTCGACCAGTTTCGGTGTGGCTTCCAACTTTTGTGTCTCAGAAATCAGTATTGAGTTGACTTTTCTGCCTTTGTATGCAGATCATATCACTATAAACATGAGAAAGAAAAATGCGTTCTGCACGGGCTATGGCATTCTGCCTCGTTACACTTGACTTCACTCAGTGCACACACACTTGTACTGTGTACATAGGCTTAAGTATTGTGCCTCATTGCACTCAACTTCAGGCACTGCATAAATGATTTCAGGATCACAGCTGCGTTTCCACAGCAAACATTATTATGGTTGTTTTGTGCTAATTGTTGCTCAGAGGGGATTATTATGATTAATTTATTGTTTCCAGTCTGGAGACATTTTGTATCAGACATTATGTGACTTTGTTTTTTCAGGATATGTTATTCAGCAGACAAACTTTACAACAGGCTCAGAAGCTGGCTCGTGAATTTGTGCTGAACCACGAGAATTACAACTGTGCTAAATCTCTGTATGCTTGTATATCAAAGAATTTGATAACTCTGGATGAGGTAAAGTTCTGTTTTTGTAAGCATATGAAAACTTAACATGTAACACTTAACCCTCTTATTTTTGCATTGAAACAGATTGTAACTTCAGATTTCACCTCATCATTTCTCTAAAGAACAGTTGTTTTAGGTCATTTCATAGTAACCAGTATATAAAAGGAAGAACTTCCCCATGTCTGTTATACAGTTCTTTGAAGCATGAAGTTTATTACTTAACGTTTCTTGGAAAGAGCAACAAACGAGCCCTTTCAAGCACCAAAACCAGGATGGCAGTTTACACAGAATCTTTTTTGAGTGTTTAGACCAGTATTAGGTTACAGTGAGTGATTGACTTCCTGACTGGCTAGCCGACTGACATGTCGATTACATCTGTCATCTTGGTGAACAGAGGGATCCTTTCTGATGCATTATGTATAATAATATTCTGTTCATTATGTCATAACTTATCATTCTGACTTTCTGTTGTATGAATCGCAGTCATTGTGTTTCAGGTATGTAACCGTCATGGGAAATCATCAAGTATCAGTGTGTTTACACAAGTGATAGCTGTCTATGTACTAAGTGAAGGACATGAAGGTAATATTAATATTTGGCATTTAACACATGAGTTATTAGTAATCTCCTAGTATTATTAGATTCATTATATTACTTATGATAAGGTGATAGGATGTAAATGCATGAGGAAAAAACTCTCAAGGAATGAGATCTAGGCATAGGTGGGAGGATAATATTAACCTCTGTTGTCCTCTAGTTGGCTACGTGTCACACTGTTATGCCACCAAACCAGTAATCCCAGAACAGGGGTCCAGATAGCAGCCCTGTAATACCAGGATTTAAATTCCACATATGACAGAGGTGAAAGTTGATAAAAGAAAACAAACAATATGAAGTTGTGGACTAGATTAAATTGGCTGTAGATTAGGTCTAATGCTAAATTTTTTGTGTGCGTAAACATACTAATGAACCTTGGGTTCCATAAAAGCAGGGAATTTCTTGACCAGCTGAACGGTTATAAACATTTCAAGAGAAACCCTCTAGCATTGCGTCATTTATTTATTCATTGCTGTGTTACAGTGACTAAAGATCTGCTCTTCTCTGACACAAAGCTTTCAAACATACTTTGCAAATATGAGTTACAGACATTGACTGTTTATCAGGTCAAAGTGTCGTATGATAGTTTATTTGAATTGCATCTTTATAAATTAAAATAATGTGTGTGGTCACTAGGTGTTTTCTGTGTTTTTTCTCGTATAGTAACAATTGTTTATTGCTTTAAATTATTCAGTGCTCTAATATTTTGCCTAAAGAATGGAAAGATTTACTCCAATGGGTACATATATTTTGGAATTACAGTTTTTACTAGTTTGAATATTTTATTAGCCTTGATGTTCATTTGTCGAAGATAAAAATCGAATGTTGCCAAGCTAACTGCACTACAGATGTCACACTGCACAGAGTCAGAAATTACATTTCCTTGTACTTCTTTAAATATTTTCCACTTAAAAAATATTTCAGCCATAAATCGTAGATCCAGATCTATATTTTATGTCATTTACATCCAGGAGTTTATCAGCGTGGATAGTTCTATAAGTATTATTAATGGTTTAGTTTTGAGTTTGCTATTTGGAAGGTACACAGTTGAAATTTCTACTTGGATGATACATATCTTGATTACATGATATAAGAAACAGTGAATGATTCACTTTGTGTTTACTTGTTTGGTGTTCTTTATTTGTCATTGTGCTTTACTGGGTGTTTGTCATCTTATGACTGCAGAGCTCAATGCAGAACACTATAGCGACATGGGGTTGTTGCTGTCTTCCTGTTCTCAGATGGTTTCAGCAGAGATACCAGTAGCTCTAGAGGTGAGTTGCACTGCCTTGGGTAAATCTGAGCCCATCAGTTGTCTGTTGTCTCAGAGTCTACCACAAATATTATATCCACAGAAAATCCAGGGTCCCTCCATTACACTAGTGGGATATTCTCTCTTGCCTGCAGAAGAAACACGTACATCTGTAATATAACTACTGATTATAGCAAAATGAGAAAATAGAGCCCCAATTATCTGGCCTTTGGTTGTCTGACTTTCTGTTTTATCTGACGTTTCCATTTCATCAACTGTCAACTCGGCATGCAGCGGAATGATCGCACTCCCTACCATACACTTTCTACATTTGACGAACTGAGTTGCTTGAGATGTACTACTGCTGTTCAAGCACTGGCGTGACCATTCTGAAATGAAAAGGAAGCTCAGAAGCTAATACCCATTACTTATTTCTTAAAAAAAGTATACTCTTTCATTCACAAACTTGCGCTATCTTGAATACAAATTTTGTTTCTGAAATTATTTCATTGTATTAACTGTGTTTAATATCATAAATTGAGTTGAAATTTTCCCCAATCTTTTTCATTAGTCTTCTATGTTATCTGACTTCATAGATTTATGGCATGCAAAAGAACCTTACGAGCATGATACAAGATGTTCCGTAAGCAAAATTCAGCTGCCATTTCTCACCCATGTTTGTCCTGATTCTCTACTAGATGGCTCTAGCAGACAAATCAGGACTGAGTAGAAATTGTGTAGAGGCAGTGGGCTTGTCACTCACTACTCACATATGCACACTTAAGAGACTAATAAGGACAACTTGCCATGAGCAACTGTCCCAGAATGGGTCAATGACCCATTCCTTGAAGTGGGAATGAAATTAAGTATAAATGCGTGTATTGTTTATCTGATACCATTTACCGTTGCAATGTCTTAGGGATGGTTGTTTCAGAAATACTGTTTTTTGACAACATAGAGTGTCTTTAAATTCCCATATAATGAAACTAGACTAAAATTATGCTCTTCATAGAGTGACAAATGTAACTATGCTGGTCTCTACAATCTCTTAAAAATAAGTTCCTGGGCCATCTGGCATGCCGTTAGAAGTGTCAGGTTGGTGTCCTGACAATGTAATGACATTGATGGTTGACCTGGACCACCCTGGCTCAGCTGCAGCCCTGCCTGTGATTTATTTGCTTTGTATAACATGCAAAATGACTGTTGAACCTTGAACACAATGTATTTAAATACAAAAATAATTAATAGTTTTATGTAATACAATTTGGCCACACTTCAAAAATGATAGTGTCGTCTCCTCTCCTCTACTTTCTGAACTATGATTAGTCGTTGCCTTACGTTTCGCTTTCTGTGATCAGGATCTGGCATCGTCGATCAGTGCAGCCGGCATAGCGCCTGAATTCTGCAGAGTTGTTCCGTCTGAGGCTGCCTGCTGGTTAGAGGAGAATTGCCCCAGTGTGGCCACCAAGCTTCACAACTTTCTGAAGAAACATGGTCATCGCTGCATCAAGGAAGTAAGCTCCAAACTTTATCCAAGTTCTTTTGGATTCTTCAAAAGTAAATCAGGATTAAATATATCTGTTTCCCTAATATCCAGACAGTGATTCTTTTGTGGGATTTATTCAGTTACTTGATTTAATTGTAAGTAATTCTTTTTATTCTCTTGGGGTAGTAGATTTGAAAGACATTTAAATATAATCCTTTAACTTTTCAAAATCTGAAACACTTCTTCTTTCCATACATGACGTTTTTCAGGAGTAATAAAATATTTAAATTGTAAACTAAAACTTGCATTTGTTAATTTATGACAGTGACATATTTGCTAGAACATTATTTTTGTAAACATATTACATTCCTTCTTGTGCACAATGTTAATCTTTTTCTACCTAAGATTCTTCCACTTTATGTGGGTCATCTGACAGCCAAGCCTCTTCAGTTTTTTCACATGTTCTTCCTTCCTTTTGTGTGACCTATTGTTTCCATCTTGATTTTGGTCTCTTTGTTTGATATTTTTATCATTCTTTCGTGTTCAAATCATCCTTGTAATTTTTCCTTCATTCAATTTTAAAGTCTGTCCAGACAATCTTATTCTGTTACTGCTAATTTACATTTCCAGATGCTTCTCTTTAAATTATGCTGCTACTCTGTCATTTTCTTCCTCGGTCCATGTCCACGTTTCATGTAGCAACTTTCAAATAGACACATATTTTTCTTCTTAGGCATTTCCCATTTCTAGAGTGTGTCTAAAATTTTCCTGCATTTTTATTCTTTATGAAACTCTTCAACACTTCCGTTTGTCATTAATTTACTTCATAAGCACCTGCAGCTCTCCTCTTTTCATATTTCAGACTAGCTTTGAAACAACAACTTTATATTCCAATGATTTTTATTGGAAGAGTTTCTCGTGAGAATATAATGAAGTTTTTATGATCTGTTAAATTTTAAAATCTGCATGAAAATCTGAAGAACATTTTCATGTGTGTTTAACTCTGCATGAAATAATTTGGAAACACTGACCATATTCCTTTATTTCCTAATGCTACAAGCGTCTCGTGGGTGATGTTATGTTCTCTTTGCACAAATAAAAGCCACAGTCACAGAATTTTATGATCCACCCTTATAAAAGACACACCACTGTTTTTGTGTGTTAAGTTCTCAGGTTCTTACTTCATTTGCTTGTAGTTTGAATTGATGACAGAGACCTGGAGTATGAACCCTGAGGCCCTTATGAAGGTTCTTCAAACAATGCTGCAGAAGTCGGCTACAGACAGGTTTCAGAAAGCAGCTAAGAAACAATTCACAGATAAAGAATTACTGTTGCAGCTCAAGTCAGTGAAGAAACGTGGCACTAGGTAAGCACAACTCTCGTACTTCAGTGGGGATCATAGGTTCTTGTCTGTGGGCAGACAGAGTAGCCGGTAGACAGTGGCAAAACTACGCTTATCTCAGAAAAAAGTGCTCTTGCTACCTAACATTAAATCCGCATCCCAAAATGTATTAAAAATTACTACTTTTATATCTCATGTACCAAAACTTGGGAAGCATTTCGAGAGAAACATTGAACAGTTCTTATGTAATTGTTCCTGTCAGTTTTTCTGTTGTGTGAGTAAATTAATTGGAAGAATGTACATTCTGCATGACAGTGACTTGGCCAACTAAATTATCTCATGTGCTGTTGTTTTGCCAGGGATTTACAAAAATCCTGACATTCGTTACCAGTTTCATTTTGATGTTATGAAGAAACATCTATTTAAACTCCAAAGTACCAACTTAACAGTTCCACTATCATTGAACAGCTGCCACTCCCATCCACTTAATCACTGCAAATCCTTTCCTGTGTGGTCACTAGAACCACCTTGTCATCACCTCCCAATTTCCCTTCATTGTATCTGATTGGAAATGTAATGTTCTGTTATCGGAATGGAAGACAAATATTGAAATATGTTTTATTTATGATGAAGGAAAGTTGTTCAGAAAGTAACAAATATTTTACAGTGATTGCAGTATTCATTATGTTAAGAATGTGATGAAATATAAAATAAAGTTTTTACATGAGAACTGCCACATGTTGAAGTGGTGGTGATGTATCATTGTCAATGCAATTGAGTTTGACCTTCACAGATTTATTTTGGGTTGGCTGGTACCGCTGTGCCGCAACTTTGTGCTGCAGCGAGAAGCAAATAAAGACTGCTGTATCTTTGTAAACCACCAACTAAGATTGGCTTACCGGAACTTGGCACAACTCATGGTGAAAGAGGGACGCTTACCGGATGCTGACCTCGTGTTCTTCTTCACTCACTACGAGCTGGGAGCGCTCTTGCAAACAAGGGACCCTGTTCTTATAACCAAGTAAGTCCACCTCCTCGTGCCTCAAACTCTAAGTCTCTTATATTAGGAGGTACACAGAGGAATGCAAGACAGTACATTCAATTAGGGCATTATTGCTTCATGATCATTATCTCATCATATGTCTTTAATGTTGCAGTACTTTTGCATTTTACATACGGTCATACAAAAATTAAGTAACCAATTAATGAGAATCTGAATGTCCATTGCTTTTAATACCAAGGCTGCCATCTGAGATTCACATACCCAAATTTAGTCCACTTCTGACTTCTTCATGAGTACAATTTTTATTTGTTACCACTGTTACTACGTATTTTTAATTTATTAAGTTTTCGAAGGATTTATTAACTCCTTATATATAACAATTTGTCCTGTAGTCTGGTAATGAGGCATGGCACATAAAATTTCCTTTCTCTGTATTACTGCTTTACTGATTTCCATTGTGGCATCTAATAGAGCTTCTGTATTTTTCTTCATGATACAGTACTTATGTTTTAGCCCACTAGATGTAAATCATCAACATAGATCATAAACTAATGCTTACCATTTATTTCCAAACCCTCTGTTTTCTTGGATCTTCCTCATGCCACATCCTAAAACAAAGTTGAAAAGCAACGGTGATAAAGCATCTCCTTGTTTCAGAAGATACTGAATAGGAAATTCAGCAGAAAAATGTTTACCTATAAAGTCTTTACTATATTCTTCATTCAAACACATTTTAATAAGTCAAATTAGATTATACGGGAGCATCATGATGTGACTGAATTAAATAACAATATTATTATTAGCTGTATTCAGACAACAAATCAGTATAACAAGCGTGTCGCTAGTATGTTCTTTGTAACAACATTAATAATACTACAGGAAGTCTATAAATCACGAAGTTTGTCATTTTGTGGTGTTCTGCTTTCTGTGCCTTATTCACTTCTCTTAGTTTGAGACACGTTCCTTAAAATTTCATTCCTAAATATTTACGATGAAATATTTATGACAAAAACTGTACACTCAGAGCAACATACAGTGCATAAAAATGATACAGAATTGTAGTGACTATAGCTTTGGCTCCACCTAGATTTTGGTGACTACAAGAAAATTTGTCCTGGCAAAGGGACGTACCGATGCTCCCACACTAGGCACTGCAGAGCCAAGCTTCTTCCCTGAGTCCCACTGTCTGGTAACCACCACAGTCTCAGGGAATGAAAGTCTTGTTACAATCTCTTTAGGAGTCTCTTATAGACTCCACCATCACAAAATTCTCCCCAGTAAGATCAGACCTGTAGCATTAACATCTTTTCTAGTAGGGCTTTCCCCATCTGAAACTTACTGCGTTGTCTGACCACGTAGCACTCACAGTCCACGATTTATCCACCCTGAGGAGTGATTATGCAATTCCAATATCTGCTACACTAATTTGTTTTACTATCACTGTCCTACAAGGCATACACAACAAAAATAACGAAGTTACTCATTTGAGTAAGAAGATTTCTGTCTTCCGAGTTGTTGCGCTGTGTAGTCTGGTCGATGTTTACCAACGTTTCAGAGGTCATACTGCCTCCGTCATCAGGGCGATAGTTACTCATGTAAGATCTGAGGTTTTCACAGCTGTGAGTATGAAGATTTCTGTCTTCTGGGTTGTTGCGCTGTGTAGTCTGGTCGATGTTAACCAACGTTTCAGAGGTCATACTGCCTCCGTCATCAGGGCGATAGTTACTCATGTAAGATCTGAGGTTTTCACAGCTGTGAGTATGAAGATTTCTGTCTTCTGGGTTGTTGCGCTGTGTAGTCTGGTCGATGTTAACCAACGTTTCAGAGGTCATACTGCCTCCGTCATCAGGGCGATAGTTACTCATGTAAGATCTGAGGTTTTCACAGCTGTGAGTATGAAGATTTCTGTCTTCTGGGTTGTTTCCCTGATGACGGAGGCAGCATGACTTCCGAAACGTTTGTAAACATCTACCAGACTACACAGCGCAACAACCCAGAAGACAGAAATCTTTGTTACTCATGCAGAATTCTACAGCGAACAGATATCTTTCCAAGACAGACTGCCTCACAAGTTTCATTCTCATGCCAAGATAAATCTAAACTAAGGTTTCTAATTTTGATCTAAGTAGTGTCCAGACAACAATAATCCTACTTCTTAATTAACAGAATACTCCAGTGTGTCTGTGTTTGTGATGTACATGGCCAGCAGCATTCTCAGTAGATGTATTTCACACATTTCTGCTGTAATTATCTACTGTGTGCTACGGAAACTCACTAGTTCTCACACCCACTCATCCCATATGAATGTTTAGCATTGTGAGACATAGGCTGCTCTTGCATTGTATCAAGTAGTGATGGACTTGTGAAATCAGCAGTGTTCAAAAGCCTCAATTCAAGATGGCTTCTTCACTCGTACAAATCTATTAACTACCAAAAGACTTTCTACTTCGAAATATAGTACACTGCAAAATAATACTCAGAACAATAAAATAATTGTGTAGTAAGAAAACCCATTTGCTTGCAGGGCATTGCGGCGCAGGAAATTGCAGCACGAGTGGAAGCAGCTTGTGTTTCCGCAGATAATCAGGGGATTGCCTGCTCCTCTGTCTGTGAGTATGAGAGGCAGTGAAAACATATTTGCCGAAGTTACAGCGCACATTAGCGCATTCTGTATCACCAAGATTTCCTCTCCATACAAGTCTGTGAGAACTCTCAGTTTGCGTGAGGCTTATTTCAGTCCTGCAACGTGTACTGTCAGTGTCAGCCTTAGCTTGCAGATTAATACTAACTTTTATTCATGTCCTCTGTTGTATGGGCAATAAACTGCAGTAAGTTACAATTTCCAGTTCCAGTTTATTATACATTTTCGTTCCGCATGCCACAGGCAAACATCCAATTCCATTCGTAGATTCTATAAAAAAAATTGTCACAGGAACTGCTACAGACTAAACACATCCCGTGTTGAGAATCTAGTGAGTTAATGAAGGAAATGTGAGTTTCCTGAGTTTGATACAGATGTTTATCGATTTCTTTATGATTTATGTACATCCTTACAATTGTACAAAATAATTTGTCTTTGATGTTACAAAGAATATTATAATTTTAGATTTGGATCCTAAAAATTACTGTTGCTTTAAAGCTGTTTTTCTAAGGGTCGTGCGTATTACAGTCTGAATCCTCGACGACATCAGCAAGACCTGGGACTTTGGGAGTTCGCCTGCAGGGAACATCCGTGTGCTCTGGTACGGTAATGGGGCGAGCGTGTGTAGTGACGAGCCTGGAGAAGATTGGAGAATTGAAGCACGGCGATATCCTCATCACGCATAGCACTGACGTCGGCTGGAGCCCATATTTTCCTCTTCTTGGTGGAGTTGTCACTGAGCTTGGTGGTATCATCTCGCATGGTGAATATGCCAAGTTTTCCATTATTTGTCTTCTTCTCGTGTCATTTTCATGTGCTCAATTTATGTCATGTCAAGTGATTACGAACTGTGAGAGTGGCAGCAGTTTTGTACTGTCCGAAGGCATTGTACTGATGTTTTCATGATTGAGGAGAAAACATGAAAATTCAGCCAGGATTCAAACCAAATATCTTTTCTTCTAGACTAACATGCTCAATTTCTTATGGTGCATAAATGCATCTGCGTGCGCTGGGTATAACATGTAGAATAAATAAAACTTATAGAATTTCTCTTTCATATGGTGAAAAAAATTCCCTTTTGTAGGTTGCACTGGTTTCTATAATTAAGTTTTTAAAATGCAGTTGTTCTTTCCTGGATATACTATATTATTAATTAACTTCAGAACAAATGTTGACTGAAGTCCACATTAAATTATAGTACAGTTACCTTGGTTTCAGAATTTGAGATTAGGTTTATGAATCCTTCTGATGACACTGGACTTTGTGGCTCTGATGTCTCTCTCTTGTCCCAAGAATTTTATATTGAACACTTAATAATTTTGTTCTTGTTATAATTCCGCCACATTCCACTCTTCCAAGCAGACTTCAATGTGACATGTTTTTAGCTTTTTATGATATCCATTTTGTTATCTGACAGTTTCATTGAGCCATGTGCAATAGATTTTCACAAAACGTGTGTGATATTCAAAACTTTTTTTTTTAGAAACGCCATTTCAGAGTTGAATTAATGTAGCAGATTTTTTAATAATTAACTACCCCTATGCAGCAAAGGCCTTCGTAAGAAGCTAATAATCACTGGGCTAGTCGAGAAATTCTCCTTTTTTGTAATCTGAACGTTAATTACCATGTTCACATGAGTCCATCACCTGCGCCAGCTGAACCTAAACTCAGGATCAAACTGTATTTCTTTAAGATGCATTTATGATTACTCTCATGCATATTCTCTTTGGTCCAGGTCTTCTGACCAGGAAGTTATATCCATTTCTCATCTTCTCCCAAAATTCATTGAGCTAGAGTGTCTTTGAGGGTATCAGCAAACTGTCCGTGAATTTAGGCGACATTAAGAGAGCCTTAATCCTTGGTTATTTGGACATTTGCGGTGGACCGAGTGGCACTGAGGCCTCTTGTGTTCACATGTCACCACCCTCAGTGACAAGCCAACTCTTTCGTTATCTGAGACTTCGTCTGTGGCAGGTGCTGTGGTGGCCCGTGAGTATGGCCTTCCATGCATCGTGGGTTGTCAGGATGCAACGAGGACGTTCTCAACAGGTCTGTATGTGCTGCTGCTTCATCCTGTTTTGGTGAAATTTATATTTTTCATAGTTAAGTCACACTTTGTCTCCGTCAGCATACGTTACATTTGATACGCTGCATTATATTAATAATATGTAAGTACTGTTTCCATAGTATGTAGAATCATTTTGAGGAAACTATAAATTCAATTTGAATTTGAGCGTCAAATAAGGGATGCAACCGACCAAAATTAATGTCACATGACAAGGTTTAGTTTAGACTTACCAATACGAAATTTAATTAATATCTGACAGACATGACCTCACTATTATGCATTCATTGTATGTACATAATAATTTGTTCATCGCTATTGTATGACTTCATTCTCATGCAAATTAATTCGAATGTCTTTGCAAATTATCGAGGCAAAGAATGATGCACGTGTGTTGTTTTAGGGGACACGGTTCTTTTGGTGGGGGCCATGGGAACAGTGGAGAAGATTGAGCAAACTGCGACTGCTTCGGAGTGACGTCAGTGTGGGCGCAGCGGGTGTTATGGTAACTTTCATACTTGGTAATATATAATACAGGCATTCAACTACTGTAACTTGTATTTAATTTGAAACATGACGTAAGGACACTTTGAAAGGTTAACGGAGTACCTTCGTCTCTGACTTATTGGCCTCTCTTTGTTCTCTGGAAATTTAAATAGTTTCAAGGTCATGGCGTGTATTACTTAAAAATTAAAATGCGGGTATCCTTATTGAGTTAATGATCCTAATAACATCTGGTGAATAGTATAAATGATTACACTCCTCGTTACATAGTTTTCTCCAGTCTCCTGTCACTTCATCCCTCTCGTGACCAAATATTTTTCTCAGCACCGTGTCCGCAGGTGCCCCCAGACCTGCGCTCGTCATTAAATATAAGAAATCGTGCTTCACACCGACAGACAAAAAGGTATATATAAATCTGTCGGTCCAGTCCGTGGCCTGCAACTGATCATGTTTTGAGAAGAAGGCTGTAAAATATTATCAGGCCCAGAAACTCATGTACTGTTAAATACCACAGTCGTCATGGTGCTCCGTAGTCACGGTTGCTCTGCACAGCTCCTAGCAATGCCCATTTTATTTATGTGCTTGGAAGTATCTGTACATTATTTTGATTTGCATATTGACTGGAGCTGGATCCTGATAAAATGTGAGAAACCACCTTGCAGTTTCTTCCATGTTATTGATTTTCCACCGAGATACATGACCTGAGTCTTCCTCCAGCTGTGTAAGATTTGAGGTTTTCACAGCGGTGAGTATGAAGATTTCTGTCTACCGAGTTGTTGCGCTGTGTAGTCTGGTCGATGTTAACCAACGTTTCAGAGGTCATACTGCCTCCGTCATCAGGGCGATGAGTATGAAGATTTCTGTCTTCTGGGTTGTTGCGCTTCAGAAATGCCCTTCATGTAAGGGATAACCCTAAACCACGAGGTCTTTTCCCCTATTCTGGATGACAGCTTCCCCTAGAACTGAGAAACGTGTCTTTGGACTGCGTTGGGAAACCACTGAGCTGAAGATCACATCTCAGGTTGTAAATTCAATTGTTCCGGTCTTGTTGCTCTTGGCATATGGCCCTACACCTACAGATGAGGACACATCCAGTTCTCAAAAACGCTGTTTTGTAACATGAGACAATGGGCAAGGTCCAAAATCCGAACAATCCAGAGGGATACCCTTGTCACTACAGCTGACCCTTCCAGCAACATATTGTCTACAGAATCTGTGTTTTACTTATGTCAACTGCAGAAAAAGAATTTCAGGATCAAATTATAAACACTGAAACTGGTACAAGACGTGTGTGGACAGAGTATTCCACACGAAGAGGATCAGATGAGGATGGGAGCTGTTTGCATCAAAAACAACTGGAGGAAGAAGATTTCAGTCTTCTGGGTTGTTGCGCTGTGTAGTCTGGTCGATGTTAACCAACGTTTCAGAGGTCATACTGCCTCCGTCATCAGGGTGATGTTCATCGCCCTGATGAAACGTTGGTTAACATCGACCAGACTACACAGCGCAACAACCCAGAAGACTGAAATCTTCTTCCTCCAGTTGTTTTTGATGCAAACAGCTCCCATCCTCATCTGATCCTCTTCGTGTGGAATACTCTGTCCACACACGTCTTGTACCAGTTTCAGTGTTTATAATTTGATCCTGAAATTCTTTTTCTGCAGTTGACATAAGTAAAACACAGATTCTGTAGACAATATGTTGCTGGAAGGGTCAGCTGTAGTGACAAGGGTATCCCTCTGGATTGTTCGGATTTTGGACCTTGCCCATTGTCTCATGTTACAAAACAGCGTTTTTGAGAACTGGATGTGTCCTCATCTGTAGGTGTAGGGCCATATGCCAAGAGCAACAAGACCGGAACAATTGAATTTACAACCTGAGATGTGATCTTCAGCTCAGTGGTTTCCCAACGCAGTCCAAAGACACGTTTCTCAGTTCTAGGGGAAGCTGTCATCCAGAATAGGGGAAAAGACCTCGTGGTTTAGGGTTATCCCTTACATGAAGGGCATTTCTGAAAGGTTCAAATGTATACAAATTTCCTACAACATTAGGACAATGTTCAAAATAAAACTCTCTTAGAAGGTTATGTGTGGGATCCAGACCGGAAAGAAGTCTTGTTACATTGATCTTGCACCACGTATCAACAGCAACAATTTGTGTTGTAAAATATTGGGACACGACAAGAAACATTTGTTCCACCTCGAAGTCTCGGCTCGACTCGTCGGCGAAGTTAGTGAGTCTTCCTCCGAATCATAAACGTGCGCTCCAAGCGTAGGACGACACAATGACCAGTGGATCTTGAGAACTGTCTAACAGAAAACGTGATGTTGGACCTCTCGTGGAGGAAATTAGAAAGACAGAGCTGTCTCCATGCATTTAATTTGGAGCAAGATTCTGAAAAGTATAACAGACAAATCACTACGGAGCCCAAAACTTTCGTTTTCTCAGGCTCTGAAACTTGTCAAAGCGTTGAAAGTTTGTGTTTTGTCTTTGAGAACTTCGTCCGTCCGTAATGGAGCTCAAGTTTACCAGAACGAAAATGTCGAAGAAAGGAATTTCCAGACGGAAATGAATGTTTTTCTTGGCTACAACTCTGGAAGCAAAAGGTTTCATATTGAGATTTATTACGTCATGCTGGACGAATTATCGATGGTGGTTAAACGAATTGCACCGAGACTTGCAAAGAGTTTCCTCAGAAGAAGGGGAGATGACGATGACCAAAACACATCTGAAGAAACACATCACCGTTACTCGTGTCCTCTTTGAAAGGGAACCTTGAATGGCCTTACGACGTCCATTGTGAGTGTAAAGGTACTTGCAGGAAGCTTTTTTTAGCTGATGTTTTGCCTAATACGAACATCCTTTACAGATTGGAGAGGCGAAACGCCGAAATCATGTATTTTCGTACGACAAGGGCCCCGACCCTAGAAAACGTCTTAATTCGGGCTCAGTGGACTAAGAAAATAATTGAAAGAGCATGAAGGTGTCGAAGTTAGTGTTGTTTGCTGTTACAAAATAAGTTATTTCTGAGATGATAAAGTTGCGTCATATTGTGATAAATACGTATTTGTTTAAATCTTGTCAGTCTAATCACAATAAAATTCCTATTAAATATTAAAATATTACCATAATTAACATTTAAATATTTAAAATATATTAAATGATATTCTCTATCGAAATGTTCGATTTACATTAGAACATCAAAAAAGTGATGTTCTAATGTAAATCGAACATTTCGATAGAGAATATCATTTAATATATTTTAAATATTTAAATGTTAATTATGGTAATATTTTAATATTTAATAGGAATTTTATTGTGATTAGACTGACAAGATTTAAACAAATATAAGTTATTTCTATAAATATAATTTTGGAATGCTTTAATCCAAGGTTGGAACCAAATTTCATGTTTTTGACTTGTGGAAACTTGGACCTCGTTAATCAGTGGACAAGCAGACCCTGATAACGCTACCACTGGTTCATAAAACATAAAAGTCCAAGACACGTTATGATTACGCCAGTTTCAACGTTTACGAAAATAAATGCCGAAATATGCACGTATAACAGCGTGATGAGTCTGCACATTCCTTCTTTTAATTGTGAAGCGTAAATAAACACAATTTTACAGTTCGATAAACCTCCTGCCACGTAAAGATGCACAGTAAACCTGTTTGCGCCTTGCTCGCCTCATGAACACATCGTTGGCTCACTCGGTGTCACGGCAGGCTGTTATCACACTGTTTCTTGGTTAGGTACAAACTTTTCGGACATTTAATCGGTCACCTGTTTCAGTTGTAGGTATTTTTCTTCACGCGCATGCGTCTGGCTATCCATTCCTCTGATACTCTTTGCTTACAGATACGAATTTACCCTCCGCTGTTTTCATGTCGTCGTTAAACGTAAGTCTGCTACCAGCCATATCAGTTCCACAGTGTTCAAGTCGCTGTGGTAAGGAGGGAAAAGGAGATCAAATGTTCATTTTCTCTTGGTATAGAATATATTTTGAATTTTTTTTTAAAATATTGTCTTGTTTAATTTTATCAGTGACCTTTTGTTCAATCTTCAACATTTTCTTTCACAAGAAATATTGTTCTTAAGTTTCTTGTAAAGCGTCACACTACTGAAAATGTGTACTGGGATTAATCGTGTTTTAATTTTTCTGTTGTGTTTGCTCTCATAAATATGGAGCGATTTACGCCCCTGACGCGAACAAAAACTCACGAAGGTCTTCATCTATTGTCCGTGTTGTTTCATTTCAATCGAAACTTCAAGAAATGTCGGTTCAATAAATTCGAACAGAATATGTGAAAAATCTTACGAGAAGAAGAGGTAGGATGGCGGGACACATTCTGAGGCACCCAGGATTGGTTAAGTTGGTAATGGAAGGAAAAGTAGACGGGAAGAATTGTAAGGGGAGACAAAGATTGGAATATGTGACGCAGATTTTTGAGGATGTGGGCTGCGAAAAATATGTGGAAATGAAGAGATTGGCGAATGATAGGCGAAAATGGAGGACCACGTCAAACCAGTCGAAAGACTGTTGACAAACAAATTTGAGTAAAACTGGCCAGTGTGAAATGCCATGAAAATCCGTTCAGCGGCCCACTAATTCGTACACGTGGTCAAAAGGACGGACATGGGGACGTTAATGGGCCCATTTTTGCAACTTACCGTTGTGAACACGCCAAAAATGTCGGCCTGCACAGAATGACATATTGTTACGTCATACATTGCTGCCACATCTGTCAAGATTGAGTCAGGTTTGGCCTTCAAAGCTACCGCACCAAGACGGCTACACGTTACTTTTAGGAAAATGTTTTTGTGCAGAAGATACTCGAATTGCAAGACAGGAAGTAGGAAGAAACGTCTTGAGTTGTGTGAGGAATAGAAGAAAACGTATTGTTAAGCTCGCGCACAGTTCCCTAACAAGCGACTTTCTTCTTGTTTGTGTGGCAACACTGAGAGGTTGCCCGTTTCCAGGTCGTAGCACGAATCACCTATATAGCCTTGCGACTGTCAGTTGTTAGAAAGTCGCGAGCGGAGTAGGTGGTGTTGCGGTGTTTTGTTTGCGAATGTGTCGGTGAGAGCGCCTTACTCACAGCAATGTGTTCCATGATTTACGGAAGAAGCTGCGACATTGAAACCGTAAGTTTTGCAATTTAGTGGATTACATTCATGTGACTCCTTAGTTAAGTTACCCGACGCTCATGAAACTTTGTCACTGCATGAAATGTCATTTGGCAGGATTCGATTTGCAAATGTAGGGTTCCTCCCTTTCATATATTCGAGAGGTCCAAGTGTTGAAGTAGGAAGTATATATGAACAGAAAACTTGTCTAAATGTCATTGTTTAATTCGTTGGAAAACTACTAAACACACCCACAAAAAAAGACCAAACAACATTTGAACGTGCAAGGAAGACAGAACACACATTTCAGACTGTTAACAAGATGGTAATTCAAAATGGCTCCTGTAGTATCAGCGTGTAATAATTGTTTTGTGTTACGTAACGTCGTGGGATAAAATTCTGTGTACAGTTTGGTAGAAATGAAGTTTGTTGATGTGTTATTTGGAAAGAAGGTCACTGGAAGTTCCTGACGCCATGTTGAATTTTGTCTGTATTGGACACCATTATGTTTATACAGAATTCGCTTGTCGCAGGCAGTTAGAGCCTTAAATGTCCGTTTCTCAGTCTAGTAGTGTAAACTACGACTGTGTATTTATTATTCTGGTCTTGGGCGAGAAGGTGTTATATGTGTAATTAATGCCTCTGTCGATCTGTCAAAGCAGTACATGGAATCCTGTGCAGCTACTACACTGCCGTACCCTGGCTTAGGGGCTGCAAACTTTCGAATAAAACTTCGTAAAGACAGGGACGCATCGCGTGAACTTGATCGTATCATTAAAAGAGGAGAGGATTTGTATTGAGGGGGTGGGTTGTCCACTGTTTGAAAGAAAGATCACCTTTAAAATGGCCCAAGTCCAACACCGGAAGTGATGCAAGCGTACAACTGGCGTCATAAGTCATGCCATTCGGAATTTCCTTGTATCTGTCCGCATGTGACATTTTTGTACCATTCATTAGTTACAGTTATGTATGGCCGATGCGTACCAAGCTGAAAGCAACTTATCAGCCTTTTTTTTTTAGGGAAACATTAATTAGTATTACTGACTTTCTGGAGACGTGGGACGAAGTTAGACTGCGAAACTTGTGCTTAGTTTCGAGTAGTGGGAGCGGGATATATATATTTTTACTAGGCAATTTTTGTATGCACAGAATCATGCAGTTGAAAATGATTCAGCATTATTTTAAAAAGTTTGTGTGTGGAGTCTCTGAGCATCAAGCACTTGACTACTTCATTCGTCTCGGCGTGGACTCTTTTGGCCTAGCAACATGACAATTGGACAGCAACTTCGCTGCAAATCGCTCTTTTGTTCCTGTACCCGGGACTGAACTGTGGGCAATTCTCTCACCATTCTCATCACGATGCGTCGCCGCGATAGTTCTGTTGGCCAGCGAGTCGTCCATCGCCCTTGTTGAAGAGTTGGGCGGCATGGCGACCCACGCTCACGTAAAGTACATTTCTGACAGAATATCAGACGTATGGACAAGTTGAAAGACCGCGAGGAACGAGGTTCTGACGCTCCAGTGCAGTCCACCTGAGGACGCTGAGTTAGCAGCCGAAGGTCACGCAAGGGGACTTGGGCCTGGTAACAGCGTTCTTGCACCGAAACGTAGGTTATTTCCGGACTGCGGGAAGCTGATCTCAGAGCTCGACGCGCTGTAGTAAAAGCTGTGTACGCCAACACAAATTACTCCGCCTGGAATTTGCTGAGAGCCTTTTGTATCGCCAGCGGAACAGACTAAAGTTCTCTGACGAATCTGCGTTTGTTTTTGCAAATGATTTCAGTGAAGAGACAACAGGGAGAGCGCTTCCACTGTCAGCGTGTGTCCACATACGCGCGCATTGGTCGTATGTCACTTCTCATTTGTACTTGGATCTGACATGAAGGGGCTTTAATAATCCAACACATGGAAGATCACCCAGACGGCCTTCAGTGTAGACGCATCTTGAAGGACGTAATGCGTGCGTGCTTTTTCGCGATTGAACGGTCCGGTTCCTCCAACAGGACCCTTACATCAAAATGACAATGACGAAAAGAAATCCTGTCTTGTTTCGCCAATTCTGCACAGATTATGCTGCAATAATGCGGATGAAAATGCTGTCGGTTGCTTTTCTCTCCTGAACCTGCGTACAGGATTCGTAGACATTAATTAATTAATTAATGTTTCTTTTCGGATGAGGGGTGCAATTTTTGTGCTGTAGTTGTCTTTTGATAGCACGTGACCTCTTCTTCATTTCACTATCGTCGTTTTGAAACGAAAAAGTCAACTGATGTGTCGCAATTTGTGAGTTGTTTAACGACGCATGTTTTTGGTTGTTTTTCTGAACAACGAATTGGAAACCATGCGGATGAAGGCGGTCGTCGCCTGATTGAAACGAGTATCCCAGGGGACGGAGAAAAACCACGGGAAACCTCAGTTTGATAGCCGTCTCCGGGGCCTCTCGATTACAAAGCAATCGTACTAACACTGGACCACGGCGCCTTCGACTTACACGCAGTTTCGAAGGAGTTTCGTAATTGTAGTCGGCGGGTAAACCCAGGGCCGCAATTCGCCGCTTGCAGCAGCTGCTGATCTCTGCCCAGAGCGCCCCATCACGTGACCAAATCACGCGAGAGAAAGCTACTTTACCACACCCGCTGTCTGTATCAGGAGCGTGGAATGTTAATAATATTTTAATCCAGTCCTTGCCGCCATCTTTGTCATCCACGTTAGAAAAAAACAGATCGGGCAAATTCGTACCAACATCCCACGCGTGCTTTCTGTCTAGAATAATAATGATTCGCTGGAAAAACCATGTCCGTCCGCAGTTAAATTGAGTGAAGCTGAAGTAACCAAACAAGACCGCGCCAAAATAATAAAATATCCAAAATACTTTCAAAACGATGAAGTAACTTTTGTGTCAGGTGGAAAATATCGATTTCCGTCACGAACCTGGGAACCATCTGGAGACCGATCAAACTTGTGTCGACGTGGTCGGTCGCAGGACCTTCAGGGTTCACGCTGACTGCTAGCCAGCTGTCCGGCCCCTAGGTTTACCTGACTTGTGTGCCACAGGCTTTATTGATAATTTTAGTACATTTTGGTACATTTGTACGCACAAGGATGAAGTGGTTAACTTTGTCCAAGGAAATAACTTATTTACACTGAAGAACTTTCTAGTCTGGTCTTTCCTATCTTCGTAATCACCATGACCGCAGCTTTTATCATTGTTTAGCCACTTCATCGCAGACATTACCACAAAACGATAAGCATTTTCTGTGTTTTATAACGTTAATTTAGTTTTTGTAAGAAATTTATTCACGACTGCGTGGAGTGCAGTTTCTGTCTGGTGATTGGTTCTGTGAGCAGTAGAATTTTTATATGTTTGAGAAGGCGACGAGCGGATGACGGAGGCTGGGTTTGGGGTTCAACGGGGCTAAGAAAGTCGTAACCCTTCCTCAGGTTCACTTAAAACAGCAGCGAGGAGAATCTGACCGTCAGGGTTAACTGAACGCGGTTGCAAGAAGATTGGCGTTATGCAAGCTGACCTAGTGGAAGTACTGGAGGTCAGAAGGGCATTGCTGCGCTGTGGAAATCGGAATGATAATCGTGACCTTGACCCACGATTCTTCTGTCATTAGAGAATTATGTCAGCAATTACTTACACAGTTTCTTTGCTGATAAGATTCAGTGTTAAAGTTACTGGTGCGACGTTAAATGTGGAAGGAAATTAGAACGTCAACCAGAGGTAATAATGGTTTTATGGGCTTAAACCACGGTTTGGCGAGTAAGGCCCGACGCTGTTAAACGAAAGAAAAGTTGTCGATTGAAAAATGAATCTACGGAAATTATCGGAAATAGTTTAAACGTGTCTCTGAGGACCGTAATGAAAGAAAGTTTACCGAAAGAGGAAATTAACGAGCTGGAAACAAATAGTGAGAATTTTTTTTGTCATGAAACGTGTTTGCGTTTGTTTTCGTGATCTCGGATTCGGGCGGGCTCCGATATCGGAATTATTTTGACTGGAACTTGACAAACCGTGCGTTCCCACGTCCCTTTTTTTTTTTTGACAGTGGACAAAACGTGTCAAGTTGGATGCGTATGCAACCGGAAGTGTGTTTTTACAGATGAACTGAGTGCGTGGGAATGAAAAGGGCACATGTCACTGTTTTTCCAAAAATGACGTTCTTTATGGAACACCATTCGTTGAGCACAGACCCACGAACTTGTGTGACGCCCCTTTCACGTCGAGCTTGTCAAGAGTTCATTGTTCTACGTATTTTTTTTCAGAAGGTCTCTTGTGTCGCTTTCATAACTGCGTCTTTGTTCTGGGATAGAGTCTTGAACCACTTAGTGGAAATTGCAAGATCTGCTGCTTCCAGAAATACTTCTGCAAGAGATTTATTTTTATTTGTCTGGGAACTTTTGTTTGGAATGAACGTCGTGAAAGTAATAAATAAGTCGTGGATGTCAGGGCAAGGGCGAAATGTGTTCTTCCTTATTTTGTCCACGTCATCAACCACGCATTGTCAAGGAAACGCTCATGACTTCCGACAGACGCCCTCACGAAAACATGAACCTACAGTTGTCAGATTTTGTTTTTAAAAAAGTTTTACACAAAATAAACAGGATGTATATACCAGAAGAGTATCCGAAATTTATTGAACCAACAGGAAGGAAAATTAGTTTTCCGTAACCGTGGCAACGACGAGTGTAAACGGCGGTGGTCAGAATTTTAGGAAACGAACCCGGCGTCAGTTTAGTGCCAGCAAAGCTGTTCATGGATCCCAGAGGTATTACTTTTCAATTTCAAAGCAACTTGTTGCATGTGTGAACACTCACGACAAGGGAGGAGTACGGATGAGGATGCTTTGTGCAGGTTGAGCTTAGAAGGCGGTGACATTAGGTGAAGGAACGCCGTGGATTTCTGTCGAAGAAGACGTGAAAGTCCAGGGTGGCGCTTGTCGAAAAGCACGACGTCGGATGTGTGGGAGTCATCGTTCTCCATGCCGATTCTTTGACTTGTTTTAAATATTGCT